GATAGATAGATAGATAGATAGATAGATAGATAGATAGATAGATAGATAGATAGATAGATAGATAGATAGATAGATAGATAGATAGATAGACGGATATATATAGAGATAGATAGATAGATAGATAGATAGATAGCTCGATAGTTATATAGGTATATGTTATGTCGAATTATCACGCACTAGTAATTGACTATGGCGAGCCCGTTAAAATAAGTCAAAGAGGCACGAGAGAGTCAGCCATTTGTTAGTTACAGTCGTTACTTAAAGATGTGTGTTACTATTGGAATAAGACATGTCCTTTGTTTAGGTACCACATGTATGGACCGGACACCAACGAGCTAGCAGTGGTGACCAACGTGCAGGGTCAAGACAAAAAACCACTCTTCAGGTTGGGTGGCTCTCACGGTGACATGTGGAGATTGGCTGAAATTCAGTTTCAGAACCCTTCGAACGAACCTACTAAGGTCATTGTTAGCATCTGTGCCTATAGCTGTCATGATTCAATGCAGCAGATTGCAAAAGTTAAGAAACGTCGAAAAAGTAAACTCGCTAAAGGTTAAATGCAGTAAAAGTTAAAGTAAAACGAAGAATGAAAGTTAAAAAGTTAAAATGTTTAATTGTTAGGCGGTTGAGTCCAGTTGATGAAGAAAGTTGGAATTATAGCCTTTAAAATATTTTATTATAGAAACGATTAGACCTACAGGTTGCAATTATGAGTTTGTCGGTTATAGCGCTCTTAAATTTGCAGTCAACAATCTTGGTTTTTTAATTTTTCTAGGTCGTGTTTATAGGATATGCGAGTAAAACGGCCTTCGTTGAGATCTCTCTGGATGACGTTAGCTTGATTATGGGTCATTGCCCACCAACGAGTGAGTATCAAGTGTGTTAATGTGAAAGCTTGCATATGTGCCACTGTCAATCGTTTAAATGGTAAAGGGTAACGTAAAATATACACAGTATGTGTGCACACAGATGGATATAATCACAACAGGAGTGAATAATAATAGAAATAAAATAATAAAAATAAATAATAATCTATTATTATTCACTCCTGATTACACTACATGTGTTAAAATGCGATCGAAGCATATTATTGTCGGCCAAGTAAAAAATATTCTCTCTGATACGTCTCCTGCAGGCTTGTGTGACTTCCAGTTGGACACCTGTAGTTTCACTAACGATGCTACGGCAGATTTCAACTGGCAGCGGTCCAAGGGTCAGTCGATAGCATCAGGTGTTGGACCTCCCTATGACCACACATACGGCACGGAATTCGGTAACAACAATTCCCCGTTTGAATTTATTCCACATTATACCGAATGCATTCATATGAATAGATTGGTCGGAATTCGTGGGCGTCGGCGCGATTGTCATTTCTTTTCTCAGATGGCGCAACACCATTTGCAAAAATATTAATATTAATATTAAGTTATTATTGTTCTATGTGCTATCGTATTGATTATAAACCATATTTATTACATAAATTATACTAATTATTATCATTAGTATTATTATTATTATTAATATTATATGCATTTTATTAATATAGTTATATTATTAAAGCATTATAATAATATTACTATTACAGGTTACTACATGTACATCGACGCCTCTAAGCAGACAGACGGCCAGAAGGCGCGCTTACAAACCGATAGGCGGCTACCAACTCTGGGCACGTGCGTGCAATTCTGGTACCGCATGAATGGAACCATCGTTGGTCACCTGAATGTCTATGTTGCTAAAGGACTCTCAGGTATGTTAGCTGCTAATGACAACCAGTCGATTTTCGTTCGTTAGCAGGAATTTCAATCAATATAATCGTACATTGCAATGCGCCCTCTTTCTCGCTCACGCTCTCTCTGTCTCTCTCGCACAGTCTCACTCCCTCTCTCTCTCTCTCACTCTCTCACTCTCTAATATATATAAATATAATATTATAATAATATTATAGTATATATGGAGAGAGAGAGAGAGAGAGAGACGATGAGAGAGAGAGAGCGAGAGGGGGGAGAGGACGCATTGTAATCAGTCGTAGTATAAAAAATGTATACGACAAAAGTGCTCATCTTTTTAGCAGTAGAAATGAACCTGATGAAAATTAAACTAACCCTAAATTAGGTTATTAATGTGAAAGTAGTTTAAGTATCCTTTTATCTTCCGCGGCAGCTGCACTTGGCAGACCGGTCTGGTCAAAATTCAACAGTCAAGGAGATCACTGGAGACCAGCGCAATTTTCAGTCAGTTCAGCAGATCAATGGAAGGTTAGTACTTGACAGCCATGCCGAAAAGTATACACTTGATAAAGAGATTGCAGGCAATAGAGAAATCTGTTCATTTCAAGCACATCGAGTGACTCCGGTATTGCTAACAACGTAATTATTGCCTATTTTCTGGGTCGATAAGAAATTTTGTAGAAGAATTAAGGCAAGAAATAAAAACGTGTTCTATTTCAATATAATCGTTCAACATTATTTGCCCTTTGGGGGAAGCACATAGTAATATACCAGATAGCAACCTTGCATTATATATACTCACTTAGTATCATTATGTAATCGACTTAATATCAAATATAAGACAATTATTCTAATGAGACAGCTCTTGTAATTAGGTTATTCTTGTAATTGGACAGATCTTGTTGTGTGTGTGTGTTTAGGTCATCTTTGAGGCCAGCGCTACGTATTCATCGTCTAATAGCATTGCTATCGATGACTTCCGAATATTGAACGCGGCATGCTCGCAACCAGGTACCATTTCATACGTTTAAGGAAGTACCCAGGTTTGGGTTTAAAGAGGAAGGCGGAATTTCCGACTAATCTCAGCTACTGGTACAAACCACGCCAAAACTAGAAAGCACCAAGTGCAGTTAAAGGGTGAATTGTGCTAATTAGGGAATGATATCATAAACTAATTGATTATTTGCGTGTGAAACAGCGTCGTGTGATTTCGAATCGGACAAGTGCCTATGGATAGATTACGAGAGGGCCGATTTCTCGTGGATCCGCCACAGTGGAAGTTCGAATCAGTTTGGCACAGGTCCCTCCACCGATCACACGCTGGGAACTAACACAGGTACGCACGCTTACCGTATAGAGCACGCCAATTTGTTACCTGTTTATTAGAACGTGTTAATTAGCCGTCTGATTTCCACGGACCAAACCTGTTTAATATATGTTTGCCGACTATGCAGTTAGCGGCTATAACACTATTTGGCTTCGAGAAGTTATTGTATGTCAATTAACAATTATATCATCTCTCTGTCTTACACGCACGCACATACGCATGTACGCACGCACGCACG